CCCCAAAACCCCAAAACCCCTGCTAACAAAATTGTATCTCAAAAAGAATTATAGATTGTTAATAAAATAAATATTTGCCAAAATGAACATGCTATAGCCTAAAGCCTAGTTATTTAGGACAGAAATTCCAGATAACATTGATGACATGCAGAGGCAATCTTATAAGAAACCAAAAAAGAGAAAAATGTGATAAGTCCAATCGCAAAAGGCACTGCTTAAAGTTAGCCAAGAAGACGTCAAACGGCTAGCTAACATTATCTAGCATTCTATAACTAACAGATACTACCAGCATTCCAATTTGAAAATGCTGAATAGAAACCATGAATATCAATGCAGTCTCTATACTACTGCTAAACAGAGGGAGTAGCAAGCTTTGACTTAAAAATAAAAAGAACTCAGGGCTAAGCTTTAAAGATAAACTACTGTGATAAAAGAGGAGACTGCTAGTAGTAATGGTAACTATGATTATGGCCTCAGAAGTGAAAACAGGGAAGACTATTTGACTTAGATTGAGTAGACAACTAAAGATTTAGAGGAGATACAAAAATAGATTTAGAAAAAAGAGAATGAACAGTCAGAGTAACTAAGCAAGGACGCATATTAAGCTATGATGACAGCAAGTTTTAATCCAGATATGGAATTAGCAAGAAGAACAAAGGACTTTATTTAGAAAGAGAGAATAAAGAAAAACAGCTCTAAGGACTTTTTATATAGCAGAGTAGATGTGTTCTTTAAAGATAAGCTTAAAGAAGCACAGGAGAAGGATAAATCTTATAAATATCAGAGACTACTAAATAAAATAGCTTCTTAGTCAATAATAGAGGATTAGAAAACTTCTCAGCATCACCAATCACAGGCTGAAAATAAGCACAATATTTTTACTATTAGTAGAAACTCAGCTGCATCGAGACCATTTACTGCTTTTACTAAGTTCGGGGCCTAGAGCATTAAAACTGATACATAACTTTCAAGGTTCAAACAAAAAATATACTCTATATCAAGCGTTTCTTCATAACAGCAACTTCAAGGAGTTACTATAAATATCCTAAGTGAAAGAAATGAAAACAATTAGATTGAAGTAAAATCAATCGATGATCCTTTTCCAGAATAAAACTCAAGGCAGTCAGCAGCATTGACCAAATTTAAAACCCATATTCAAGACAAACCAGGTACTGCTATCAAAGCTTTCCATCCATATTATGATACAAACCCAAAGGAAGGTACTTCTAGCACTATTATCAATATCAATAAGCTCTCAATCCCAAACAGACCACAAAGTTTTGCTTAAAGTAGAATCTCAGAAATGAGATAGTCTTTGGTTGTGAATCAGCATAATGAAAGTGAAAACGATAATTTCCTATAGCCCAGTATAAATCAGGAAAACATGTCTAAGTCAATTTAAAGACCTTAAACACAAGGTATTTCTAATCATAACATGGAGACATAAAAAAGTGAGAGCAATTTTAGAATTTCAAGACCCAAATCTTCATCTTAGAGAGCTGATGCCAAGAAAAGACTACTAAAAAGTGCCTCAGGTTTAGATATTTTAAAACGTAATATGGTAAGCATAAGCAAGGAACCACAGTATATGTCACATAGATTGTTAGTAGAAGCTAAATAAAGCAAAGAGTAAGTATAAAAAGACGTAGTTTCATTGATAGTTAACTGCAAGAAATTCTAAAGATAAGCTAAGAGCAAATCATTCACAAGGAAAATTAACCAGGTAATATAATTAGTGATTAAAGTCATCAATGTTTTATAGAATTACAATTAATACCAAAGATAGGAAAAGCGTATGACTAAAGAGATAGAAAATCTAAAGGATGATATAATGATGGCAAGATTGGAGAAGTTTAACTATATGGAGGATCTTGAAGAAATTAAAGAGGATTAGATTTGACAATATTAGCTTTTGATTTATTTTTAAACAATTTCCAAACTCAGAAGATAAATATCAATTCATTTAATTTTGATATAATTTTATAATAACCAAGCGGGGTTTTGGGGTTTTGGGG